TTTGCCATCAGGATGGTGAGGCCTATCATGTGATCTCCCCTAAAGGGGGTGCTTGAGACTGAATCCCTCGTAGCTGATCTCTGGCCACAGAGATATTGACTCTGCTGAAAGTGGGACTGCAGCATGCTATTTGTGGATCCAGATTGGGCTTCTTGGTGCCTTGAATCCCTGCCAATGTCTTGGGCAGCAAGAGTGAGGCACTGGTGAGGGCAAAGGGTGGGAATCAGGATATATGAGCTCAACTCCATGCTGGCATGAGACTCTTTTTTACCAGGAAGTAAGTTCCATGAGAATGAGGGTTTTGTCTTGTTCAACTCTAGAAGGGTGCCTGGCACATGCTTGGCACTGGGTGAGTGTTTGCTGAATGGCTGACCCAATGAATGATCTGGGCCATCACTTAAATTATGGGGCTCAGTCATCCCACCAATAAAGTGGGAATGAACAATGGCTGCCCTACTTACCTCAAAGGGTTGCCATAATGAGATAATGGACCCAGGAAAGTGCTCAGTGTGTGTGTGTGTGTTGGGGGGGGGGTGTGTGTGTAAAGGGCTATTACGAGAGGAGATGCATTTACTATTATCCCTGTCCTTGGCTGACGGGAAAGACTGCTGCAGACCCGACATGGAAGGGGCAGGGGCCCACCCAAGCCATGCCTTCCTCCTGTCCTCTACTTTCCTCTAGGCTAGCCTCAAAGGAAGCCCCAAAATGATCACTCAGATTTTCATTTCCATTTTGCACATGGGTAGGGGGAGGATGTGCTACCTTGCATTGTCCCGGCCGTGTGACTTCAGGAAATTCAAATCTCGGTATCGGGAGAGAAATGCCACCAGCTGGTCATTCGTCCTGTGGAAACAAACCAAGAGGAAGGTCAGGGTCCTCCAGAGACCATGGACACTTTCTGAGTCTTGGCTCCCTTCGTGGTCACAGAAATAAGGTCCATACAGGCTAATAAAGCATCTTCTTTCATGGGTCACCACCCTAGGCTTACCACACTACATTAAAAGGGGATATTAGCGTGTTTGTATCCTACCTATCCTATAGCCTGTACACTCTTTGAGTATAAGCATACTACCTTAGCTGTTCTGGAATCTCCAGTGCTCAGCACTGGGAGTGGCAAACAGTAAGTCATTAGTGTGTAGCTCAATGCGATACACAGCAATCTCAGGGTCTTTGCACGTGCTGTCCTTGGGAAATTCTGCCTTGTATCTTTCCAGGTCTGGCTTGCTGTTATCATCCAGGTCTCCTTTCAAATGTAACCTCTTCAGAGACGCCTTTTCTGGCCACCCAACCTAATGTGGCATCAGCCTCCCCCACCCCCATCTTTATCATATCCCTTTATTTCCATTACTATTTTATTGTCACCTGCAAGTGTTAAACTTGTTTATGTTATGATGTAAGCTCCATCAGGACAGAACCTAGTGGGACTTGCTCCTCACTAGCACATGGTAGGAGCTACATTAATGGTTGCTGGATGAATGAATACTAAGTCCTTGAATAACCAGTGGGCTACCAATTGAGAGAGCTTTAAAAAATATGAAGTGCGATTGAAACAGATGACGTCGTTCCCAGTATTGTTATCCCAAATTTATCGCCATCAATCTCGGTGCAGGCAGTGTAGTCACAGCTAATCAGCTTGTGCATACAGCTGTGACAGTATTTTAAAAGGCAGTCACACGGGTCTCCATCTGCCAGAAATGCAGTCGCCTCTTCTGCTGAATAAACCCAAACAGGTAAACGGTGCTGAAGTGACAGCTCCTTTATCATCTGCTCTGCTCAGGAATTTTTACTTAGAAGGAAAGGGTTAACCATTGTTTCAAAGTGGGAGACCAGATGGAGGCGGTGGAAAGGAAGGACACTCCTGGAACCGAATGGAGGCTCTCAGAACTTTGGGGGGCAGGTAGGTGCCTTAGAAAGCAATGCCTGGGCTCTAGAAGCAGAAAGGTCTAGAGGCAGATCCCAGCTCCACTCCTGACCCAAGGGTGAGTAATTTAACATCTGGGTGGTAGCCTTCTCTGAACCCCCCTGACTGCCCAGCAGACAGTAGGCTCTCAGTACGTATATAACAAATGGATAGCTGGGAATATTTAAAGGGCATATAGTAGGTGCGCAATAAATGCAAAGTGCTTTGCTCCTTCCACCTGCCACCATCTGGTCTAAGCAGCCCCCACGCCTCACTCTTCATTTCCCTGCAACTCCCTGCAGCCGCACCACTGCAAGCCCCTATTCTGTGATTGGATGACGCATGCTGACCAACTCATAATTCCAGCGGAGGGGGCACAAAGCAGTCAAGGGACGCTGCAGTGAAAACGAGCCCTGCCGATGTCCCATCCTGTTACTGAAATGAACACCAATACACAGGCGGCCATTCTGGCGGTAGCAGAGAGACCCCCGTCCACACTGAAGTAAATCCGATAGGAACACGTAAGCCAAGCCCTGCCGAGGCGCACAGAGGTAAATTCCAGGGATGCAGCCAAATGGCTAACCCCACGCATCTGCAAAACGGTGCATCTCGTGTGTGGACAATCCTGCCCACATGCTCCAAGGTAAAGCCCACGTGTGCCTCATACCAAGTTACAGACAGCCATGGGCAAAGGGCCTCCCGAAGTTGCGGGGAGAGGTGGGAACAAGATCAGCCCATAAAAAAAAAAATGAAAGCAATCTCTCTTTCCAAACCCTCAAGAGGCCCATTCGATCTCCGTGTCTCAGCAGTTCCTGTTTACCAACCCCCTTGCCACTCTGGGACAGTTCATTATCGTCGTCCTGATGAATACGGGGACAAGTTAACCTCTGAATGGGTCCCTGGCAGCAGGAATAATAAATAGGGCCTCTCAGCGGCCTCAGAGGGAGGATTGAAGGGGCCGGGCCGGGGCTCCTGGGCCCCCGTGCACGAAGCCTCAGGCCTCCCAGGGTCAGTGGCTGCAGCTCCATTTGGCAACCCCAGAAAGCGCCTTTCAGGGTCCTGAGCTGGGGCCATTTTCACATTTACCGCTTCACCGAGTCCCCATCTGACGGGGATGAATAGGCATTTAGCGAATTTACTTAGCGATGCTTCCACATGAAATCGTCTCAAAAGATGACATCTTGGGGGAGGGAGGGTGGCTGGGGAGGGGGCTGCGGATTCCAGGCCCAGAGCCCGGGGAGGGAGAATGCGGGGGTGGGTGGGGGTGGGGTAAGGCTGCCTTTCAAAGCAAAGTGCTGTGTGCCTGGCTTGGCTGGACTGGCGGGGTCGAGAGGACCCCTAACTCCCCCTCCCTGGGCTCCCTCTATCGGCCCCCTCACTCTCCCTCTCTCTCAGAGTAAAAAGCTTGCTCTGCACACTGAAACCAGTCTCCCAGCCCTTCTTCAAGGGGACACGCAATTCGGCTGGGGCCCAACTTTCCTATCACTGCTTTCCAACGCCTGTCTATAATTGCCTACATAATATTTAGTTCTCCTCAGATAATTAACAGCTTGCGATCTGTTGACATTTTACCCAGTTCCAGCCTCTCTCTCTCCCTCTTTCCCCACCACATACGTTTCTCACTCTTCCTCTTCTGGTGGAGTCATGTGCCAAGTGGCTCCCACCACTCATCACTTGTGCCTGTCCCTACCTCTTGTGAAAACCATTAGGAGACATGTTTCTTCGTCCACAGCCACTCCTCTATGACTGTGACTCTAGGCCCCTCACTGGCAGCCTTCGTGGCCACTGGGATGTCTTTGTGGAAATACGTAAATAAGTAAATGTTAAAATAAGTGATTTATTTTAATAAACAAGTCATTTATTTCAATTAATAAATTGGCTATAATATAAACAAACTTATTGGAACCATGTGAAAATCTTTGTTGAAATGAGGGAATAAGTGAATGATAAATAAGCTCCAAACATTAAAAAAATTTTAAAAAAGGGGCTGCCTGGGTGGCTCAGTTGGGTAAGCGTCTGACTTCGGCTCAGGTCATGATCTCATGACTCATGAGTTCGAGCCTCAGGTTGGGCTCTGTGCTGACAGCTCAAAGCTTGGAGCCTGCTTTGGATTCTGTGTCTCCCTCTCTCTCTGCCCCTCCCCTGCTCGCGCTCTGTCTCTTTCTCTCAAATATAAACATTAAATTTTTTTTTGAAATAAGCTCTAAACCACGACCATTTATGAAATTGTCCACCATGCCCCAGACCCTGGAGCAGATGTTTGCCACATTTTATTGCATTTAATATTCACAAAAACTCTATAAAATGCGAGTTTCATTCCCAATTTACAGATGGGCAACTGAGACTCAAAAATTGCCGCTTAGTGAAGCACAGTGTCAGGATTAGAATCTGGATCCAGATGTCAGAGAGTGTCATGCCCTTTGCTACTAGACTGTTTGCATAAATGAATGAGTGAATGAATGAAGGAATGAGTGAACAAATGAGTAAATGAATGAATAAATGAATGAACGAGTGAACGAATGAGTGAATGAATGAGTGAACAAATGAACAAGTGAATGAATGAGTTCCATGCCAGGTGTAGGTACTCAAATGCCCCCCTATTCAGAGCCTGGTCTTTGGATGAATGCAGTAACTCAGGCTCCACCTCAGACCTACTGAGTCAAATTCTGCATTCTAACAGGATTCCCAGGGGATGCGTGTGCCCTTTAAAGTTTAAGAAGGGCTGCTTTAAGTGAAGCATGAATATGGTAGTTAATTCTCTTCCTCTTTTCCTTCTTCATCTTTTCCCTAAGGCCTGCTCCTGAAAGCCTGGACTTGCAGCGAGTTACTTTCGTCTCAGTAAGCCTCAGGTGTTGGGAGTATTAAATAAAATAATGCCTGAAGATCTGTGCTGTAGCACCGGGCATATAGTAAGCCCTTGATAAATGTTAGCTGTTATTTAATAGTATTATTATTGCCATCTTGAATATCAGAAGCTTAAGACATTTTGAACTGGAGACAGCAGTATAATGACCCAGCCAGATTTGAACTTGGAAAGCTTTCTGTGCTTAAGCCCCAGGGGATGCCCTGTGGAGCATGGTTTGGGAAATGCCCCATCGAATGGACCTGTCTCCTCTCCCGGCTGGTGTGAGAGTTAGGAACTGGCTCCCGGGGGGCCACCTCGACACTGTGTGTGTCTAAGATGCATAATGGTTCTGGGCATGAGGACACAAAGAACTAGGGGGGAGGAGGACAGCTCAGCTCTCAGGTCCCTCTAGTACCCGGGAGCCCTGTCACAGCCAAGCCTGCCTGCTGGCAGCCTGAGACAGGGCGAGGAGGGAACGGGGACCTTCTCAGCCTCCACTTGGAAAGAGCACAACACAGAGCCAGCCCTCAACTGCTCTATGTTCCTCCTGCCCACCAGGCTGTGGCCCAGAACCCCCTTCTCTGATACAGGATGCTGAGAAGAATCTGCCAGAGGTACTCCCGACGACCGGCAAGGCAAAAGCTAAGCACAGAGTTTTTGTGAATGTCAGGACTCAAGACTTCCACCCGCTGATGCTGCCGGGTGTGTGCAGACCCCGGGGGCACCAGATCGAGGCCTCGTGGATGCGGCGGGTGGGCCATGTGAGGAGCAGAAATGTGTGTGGGTGGCAGGGGGTGGAGGACCAGGGCACTGGGCAAGCTGATCGTGCTAAGGATGGAGGCACCTTCAATGTGAGCTCAGAATAAACACGCCATATTTCCCCAGCTTCTTCCACTGCTCTATCATCTGCACGGTTCTTTCAGACGCATGTTCAATTTAACGTTCAATTCAATAGCGCTTCAGCTTTACCCTATGTGACAATATTTGCAGTATGTGATGTACTTTTTTTTTTTTTTTTTAACAAATCTTAAATTCTGGTAAAATACACCTAACAGAAAATCTGCCATCGTAACCATTTTTACGTGTTAACAGCTCAGT